TACATTACCAACATGATCATCAGTAGTCGGGTGTCAATTTTCCTGACCAGCGCTTTTTCCCGCTGCCTTCTCTCTTCTGGAGACCAATCAATCAAAGCAGTCGGTACGGACCGCCGATTTTGGTCCTTGGGATTTTCGACGACATATTGCTCGATGTGATGGGTTGCGGAGTCCTTAGTACCTTCCATAATGTAAGATTGTAAATTTTGGTTCAACTCGGAAGATACAGAAGGAAGAGAGCCAAGAGACTTCAACTTCCAAGAAAATTGGCGGGATGGGAAATCCACAAACAGCAGACCAAGGCGATCCATTTAAAGTTGCTGGGCATGACCAAGCTTTGTGGTTCAATTCTCTGGGGTAAGCAAAGGCTCCCCATGGGGTAAGCGATTGGCCCAGAGAAAGACAAGACCAGTAGTTTTTCCAAGGATTGAAAGTCTATACTGCATATCCGACTAGATGCCCCGCAGAAGACGGATAAGTCCATAGATCCGAGATTGACCGCGCTAGGAAAAGGACGTGCCAATCAATTCATCTGCGGCATCAGTCACTCACTCGCCTGGGAAATAGGGTGAAGTGTTAACCTAACAGTATGAACAACTTCTATGGCAAATTCTAAGTATCATAATTTTAATGAGAAACAGAGAAGAGATTATCCGTTATTATATGTCAATCCCACTCGACCAAAATGCCAATGACATCAAGGGTCGCGCCTTGAACACTTTATTCCCCCAACATTATATGTATCCATGCGGTCCACGGTGAGAAGAGCACAATCTCAGTGGCTGGCAAGCTTCTTCTGCTCCGCAGCCCAGGCCAGTGCACTTTCACGAGCGCTGGCCTCACCAACTTCTCCAAAGATATCAACACCTAATCTGGCCGGAAAGTTCATGCGTTGGTGCTTCTCCAGGCTCTGTATAGCTTCGAATGCGTCCTCGGGGAGTATGAAGTCTGATACAAATGACGTATTAGCTGGGGCTATGCGGATATTCGGGAAGACTGAACAATTAAATGAGTGAGGTCTTACCATCGAAGTTGCTCCGAATTCTCTCGGGCGTAATGGACTTGGGAAGAACCACCGTCCCGCGCTGAACCGCCCAGCTGATCAAAATTTGCGCCGGTGTTTTACCCAGTCGGCGGGCAACTTCAATCACCAAGTCATCGTCAACAGCCCTACAAGAACATGTGAACAAATAAGCACTTTTTGTTTTCATGTAAGTGTGTCGACGCACCGAGGAATGTTATAAATATTGTTTCCGAGAGGAGAATAGCCTGTAACAATAATTTGCTGCAACAGAACATCAGGATCAGGACCAGCGTCACAGTTATGCCCGAATGTGACATATTAAGAGTTGAGCACGTACATTGTCTTTAGACCACTGAAGCAATTCCCGTTGCTGAAGGTAAGGATGGGCTTCGATTTGGTTCACAGCGGGTCGAATTTTGGCACTAGAATCAGGTCAGCTTCCGGAAGAGTGCTTCAGTCTGGGCAATGCCACATGCGTCTTGAACAATTCCTCAATCTTCGCCTGGGTGAAGTTGCTAACACCAATCGTGCGAATCTTTCCTTGCTCTACAAGACGTTCCATCGCTGCCCACGTATCCTTGATAGGCACATCAATCACGTCGATGAGGCCTGTCTTGGCATCGACCGGCTGAATGGTTTCATTGGAGTGTCGGAACGCTACAGGCCAGTGAACCTGTGTCAGAAAATGATCGAGTCAGTAACCATTTCGAGAAGAAACAGAGCACAATGTAACTTGCCAGGTATAGATCAAGGTAATCAGTTTGCAGATCAGCGAGTGATTTATTCACGGCTTCCTCGACATGTTCAGGTTTGTGGTGGGTGTTCCATAGCTTGCTGGTCAACTACACAGTTGAATCCGACTGTTCAGTATGCTATATGAAATCCTTCCAGGACGGTAAGTGTGCAATTTTGGGCATACATACGAAAATTTCACTGCGCGGGACCCCGGACGCCTTGATGCCATCTCCGACTTGCTTTTCGTTGCCGTACACAGCAGCCGCGTCAATGTGTCGGTAGCCTGCTTCTAGAGCTGCCTTCACTGCTTGACAGACTTCATCGTTCTTCGATTGCTGGAGGGACCCTCAATGTCAGCCATGGACAGAGCGAAATACTCTCCTGCATCTTGTACATACCCATGTACCCAGGCCAACGGCGGGCATGCTGTACCCGCTACTCAACTTGAAGATCCGACCTGACGCCATTGTTGTACAAAAAGATGATTCGATAATGAAGAGTAGACTTAGGAAGTATCTGTGTATCTGGCTAGAAGAACTATTCAAAATATTAAAGTCTCTAAGTATGAATGCGTCAAGAGATCGGTTTCCTTGGTCACAAAGTGAACCAGCCGATACTCGGATAAGTTGACCGGAAACCAAAAGTATGGAAATGTTTCCTGGATTGGTAATCTGAAAGTATCCTATGATGTGGTCTAACGATCTAGACTTTTAGATTTTACTTTATATTTACACATATAGATATTAAGAATGTCAATTCAATGGATAAAAAACTGATAGAAATATAACACTTTAAAAATGTACCTAAAGTCATACACTAGATCTTAATTATCTAAGGCACCCCTCGGCTTACCGAAGAGAAATCAGGGCGGATTCGGGTCGAATGCGATTCAGCCTGTCAACAACCCTAATATTCCCCAGTATATTTCCATGAAGATCCTACTTTTCCGGTATTACGACTATTGTGACAGTCCGCAATTTGTCAGATGTGACATTCGAAGCCTTTTTCCGAAATGCGATCGCCTCGGCAAGTACTGGCTGTGACGGAAAATATTCCAGGCCACTTTTGTTCGTATCGTCTTCACTTTATTGAAGTGGCCAAGTGTTGCCATCAGATGATGGGTTTTTGATTACCTATCGACTTAGCGAAAACCCGAAGTCAAGTTTGCTGATTTCCTAGTCATTGTTACATTCATATGAGAAACCTGAATTCCCAACCCTCCTCATCTATTCGCAGGTAACGCAACAACGCAATGGCTCCAATCAAGCAAATTGAATATTTTAGAGTGCCTCCACGATGGCTTTTCGTCAAAATTACAGACTCGGAGGGCAATTTCGGCTGGGGTGAAGCTTCGCTAGAGGGTCATACAGAAGCAGTTGAAGGTTGTCTCGATGCCTTTGTCGAGCGATTTGTTGGCCTGGATGCCAAGTATGAACCCTTTGCTATTCTCTTTTCCGTTCCTTGAATTGAGTACTCACTTCATGTTTTAGTGACATTGAACATATATGGCAGAATGGTTATCGCATGGGCTTCTACCGTGGCGGCCCAATCCTAATGAGTGCTCTGTCTGGCATTGATATCGCGTTATGGGATTTGAAGGGTGAGCTCGAACAAACAGCTATAGCACCAGTATCATGAGCTGATTTCCGTTCATTCTTTCTCCAGCTTCACGTTTTGGTGTGCCTATATATGAGTTACTCGGTGGGAAGGTCCGTGACAAGCTGCGGGTTTATGCTTGGATAGGCGGGGATCGCCCGGGAGATGTCGAGGCACAAGCGTAAGACATGACACCCGAATTGCCCTTCGTCATTTCATGTGAGCTGATAATTCCTTGGCGTGCCAGTCGCGGTCGCATTGCGCAGGGATTCAAGGCCGTGAAAATGAACGCGACCGAAGATCTTGGTTGGCTGGACTCCCCCGCCGCGCTCAACGCCTCAGTGGAGCGTCTGAAGACTGTCAAGTCTCTCGGATTAGATGCTGGTGTGGACTTTCACGGCCGGGTGCACAAGGCAATGGCCATTCAGCTTGCACATAAGCTCGCTCCGCACGAGCCATTGTTTATTGAGGAGCCCTTGCTCTCTGAGCATCCAGAGTCTGTGGCTGCTTTGTCCAAATTGGTCCCCATTCCTATTGCCTTTGGAGAGCGTCTACACTCGCGTTGGGATGTCAAGCCATTTTTAGAATCAGCCTCGGTCAGTATTCTTCAACCGGATATTAGTCACGTTGGAGGGATTTCCGAGCTGCGTCGTATTGCCGTCATGGGTGAAGCTTACGATGTGGCTTTGGCACCGCATTGCCCTCTCGGCCCAATTGCTCTCGCTGCGAATATTCAGGTTGATGCCGTGTCAGCTAATTTTGCGATTCAAGAAATGAGCTTGGGCATCCACTATAATCATGGGTCGGCGGATATTGGGACATATATCAAGAACCCTGAAGTTTGGACAGTAAAGGACGGCATGCTGGATCTTATGCGGGGTCCCGGTCTAGGCATAGAGATTGACGAGGGAAAGATTAGAGCTGCAGCAGTCGACGCCAAAGCTTGGAGAAGCCCCTGCTTTGAAGGTCCTGGCGGGGAGTGGAGAGAGTGGTAAGATGTAATAAAATATTACTTCAATATATGTAAGACTGTATCTAGAGCTATACATATCAAAAGACCAAAAGATCACATAAATCTGAATCTACGATTCAGGTTGCCCTGGGTTGCACCTTTGTAACTTACTCCTGTTAGAATATATATAGCCTAATGTACACCATGTTATGGTTGAGAAGGAAGATTCTTCCAGGGGTTTAATTCTTAAGGCTAATTCTACACATGCAGTTTACACATTATTATAGATTCTCTACCATCGTATTTTTATGTCTGCGAGTGATTCAACTTGCTGCTCAGGCTCACACTCCGGAGATTACCAAGTATATACAAATAGTGGAGGATAAATTCCCAGGCTGTGAACCTCTCAATTCCTTGACTGTTGGGGGTTTGGGAGGGTTGGCTATTCTATTTTCTAACCTCTCATAGTTAGAGCATCGGATGATTGTTCAGAGCCACGGATTCTTATATGTATGGTATCGTACTAGCCTTCACGGCAATAGTCCATGACTATTAAAGCTTCCTCAATTCAGTGTTTTGTTATGCTTGTGGAACTCATTGATCTTATCGAGCTAAATCATATCGACGGCTGTCAATTTATTGATGGCAACCTTAAAGAGTTATATAACCTTACAAGCGAGCTATGAGACTCCCTCAAGCACCCAAAAGACCCTCCAAAAGATACACCAAGCCCATCGCCCCAGGGTCTGGAACCTTACTCCACACTTCCGGAGGAACGTAGACAGCGCGGCCAAGGGATGCGGCCATCCCCTTTGTGCTGTCACGCCCCTCTCGTGCTGCAGCAAGGGCTACAGCTACTGGTGAGTCGGACTGCAGAGATGCTATGAAGGGTATCAAAGCGTCCATAACAGTGCGGTCTCCTACCAAAGCAGGTGTAGCTTGGCGTACAGCTTGGAGTGCGTCACCAGAAGCCTTCACCCAATCTGAACGTTCAACCGGCCGCTCTTTGGGCAGCTTCGCACCGACGGCCCGGAGAGAAGCAGCCAGAGCGTTTAGGAAGATTGCATAAAGCGCCCCGGACGTACCGTCCATATTGTTCTCAACGACGATTGCTAGAGTCTCAAGGAGTTGGATTATATCTCCACTATCACGGTTATAATTGCCTTTGTTAACAATTTCCCGAAGGATAGCCTGAGCAGTTCGCGCGAGTGTCGATCCGCAATCTCCATCGCCCACCAGCGAATCGACTTGATCAATCTCTACCTCGGCCGCTATCACCCCATCACAAGCCCGCTTGAGAGATGCCATCAGGTCTTTCTCGTTGACTATCGAAAGAGTATTGGCAGGTTGTCAATTATGGAGATGGGTTTTGGGAGACAACTTACCTGTCAGTTGAGAAAGTGATCTGGGCGAGGGTTCCATCGAATCAACGTCACCTGTGTCAAATATGCCATTCTTGTGCGGTCCTTCGCCAACTCCATATGCCTGATAGAGATCTGGTGTCACCCTCCACCCTGGGGTGGTGGCGGGCTCATCTAGCGCCGTGAGAATTTGAGGAGTGGTTTGCAGGAGTGTGATACTGAAGCCTTTCCCATCCAAGCTGGTCATAAAAGCCCCGGAATATATCCTAATAGGTGTGATGCCCCATCTACCTACCCCTTAAGATCAGAAATGATGAGAACATCTACGGATGATGGTATTCAACATTGCTTACCGAGCCGGTCAACCACAGCCTTGGTTATAGCGGAAAACTCAATGTTCGATACACCTCCCAAGTTATTGACCATCAAACAAATGGATTGTTTGTCTGAAAATGACACATAAGCTCGATCTGAGTCGGTCGGATCCAATAACTTGTCCAACATTTGGTCCACCAGTGTCGAAATGGTTGGCTGTGGTTTGATCACGTAGCAACCTGGCTCATTGTGGATTCCCATACCCACTTCGACCTGATCCGCATTGTCTATCGATTCTGTTGTCGGTTTTCCCACAATGTGAACATGGTCTAATGCAGCACCGACAGTGGCAAGATTGTTCACTAAGTCTTCACCGATTTTGCAGAGTTGCTGGAGATCCATCTTGCCCTGTTTGGCCAGGGCCCCGAGAACCTTCTCAACGAGGACAGTACCTGCAAGACCTCGTCTTCCGACTCTGCCGCTCTTGCGTCGACCAACCGACACATCATCCCCAACGACTAGCACGGCAGTGTCAAAGCCAGCAAGGCGGGCCTTTTCAGCAGCCAGATGAAAGTGCAGTACATCGCCCGTGTAATTCATGATCACGAGCAGGGTGCCGGCAGAGCCGCCCACTCGAGAAATTGTGGTTTGAATTTGGTGCACACTCGGAGACGCAAAAATAGACCCTGAGACTGCGGCACTGAGAAGGCCATCGCCGACTAGGCCTACAAAAGAGGGTTCATGGCCAGCTCCTCCACCTGAGATGATTGTCACATTCTTGTTCCCGTCATGGCGTAGATTTATGATAGCTTTGGCCATTAGCATGCCTCGTGTATGTGTGTGTGGCACTAGAGAAGAGCACGTGGGTGCTCTTGGTCTTGTACTTACCTTTGATATCTTCGTCATATCGCAAGAAAGGGTTAGACAAGGCCAGTCCATGCAAACTATCTTGGACGAGTGTTGTGCCATCGTTGATAAAATGCTTCGTAGTCATTTTTACTTTCTAGTGCTGTCAAAGCGATCGTGTGTTGTGGGCATCTCTTCCCCTTTGGAGGTCAGGCTACTTTATAGGATACTGAGAGTCGGGTATTCCTTTATTGATTCCTAGCATAACGATTACTGTCTTCTCATACTATGCCTGGGCTACATTGAGATCCCAACGTCTCCTTCAAGGAACGCATGACCCCATATCTTTACCTCCAGTGTTTGTACTGTGTTTTACTTCTCCCCGGCGCTTAGCAACATCCTTTTCCGTTGTGACTTGTTGTTTTTAATTTCCCTCTCCAGGGATTCGCAAGACCATGGGTCTAAAGTTCCATATAGCCGAATTTGTGGGGTACGGAAATGACAGCTTGGCGCCGGGAAAGCACCCTGCGGCCAAAGCTTCCTTTTAATGGTATCCGATTGGTTCACTGGCTACTCTAGCTAGTAATGTAAAGGCTCATGGACTACTACTATTTGACTGAGTTAGTACTTAAATGTCCTACTAGGAGTTATGATCGGGCGCATTTTGTTCAATCAGGAGTTGCATAACAGGGGCCATATCCATCATGTTATACTCAAATACACTAGAGCCTCTGCGTGAGGTCAGCCCAAAGGCTGGATTCGCTCACAAACTGCCCCCAAGTCCACCAGCCGACGGATCTCAGCCGCCCTGTATAATCGACGATGTTCTACAGAACTTAGTGCGGGATGCTCCAGATGAGCCCTTGGTTGGCTATCCAAAAAGTGCGCATGGTGTTACCGATTATGAATATTATACCCCGCGGGACCTGCACAGGTTCGCCAACGGCGCTATCAGGGCGTTTAAGTCAGCGGGTCTTCCAGAGGTAAATATTGAGTCCAAGTGAGAGGAACGGACATTGTGATTGTTAATTATTCGTTTTAGTTCTCTCATCCCACTGAGAACCGCGTGGTCTCCATCCTCGGCCCGTCCAATCTCGACTACATCGTGTCGCTCTTCGCATTGTCTCGAATGGGATACTCCATTCTGCTACTTTCCACCCGCCTTTCCACCGAGGCATATTGCAATCTAGTCGCTCTGACCAAATGCAACCACGTTGTATACGCACCGTCCAACCAAAAGGCTGTCGAAAAAGTGGTGGAGCATTCACCTGTGTCCACATTTTTAGTCCCGGAATTTGCAAACTACTCGAAGGAGCCATCGAGTGCACCCTCACAGCACTATTGGACACCGCAAGCTTCTCAAAAGTGGGCTTTCATTGTGCATTCTTCTGGCTCCACTGGTCTTCCCAAGCCAATCTTTCAAACGCATGGGGCTTGTATCTCCAACTACAGTACGAGCAAGGGCTACCGAGCACTACTCACTCTCCCACTCTTCCACAACCATGGTCTCTCTACTTTCTTCCGCTCACTCTTCAAAAGGAAACGGATTGCACTTTACAACGCCAACCTTCCGCTGACTGGGAAGAATGTGCTAGAAACGATGAAAGTCGCTGCCCCGGAGAGCTTTCACGGCGTGCCGTACGTCTTAAAACTCCTGAGTGAGACGGACGACGGTGTCGATGAACTAGCAAAATGTGAACAAGTGCTCTTCGGAGGCAGCAGCTGCCCCGATGCTCTTGGTGATCTGCTAGTAAATGCTGGAGTCCGGCTGATCAGCCACTACGGAGCCACCGAGCTAGGACAATTGATGACATCCGCAAGACCCCCAGAGGACAAAGCTTGGAATTACGTTCGACCATTGGAAAAGGTGAAACCTTTCTTGCAATTCAAGCCTCTTGGAGACGGCTCCTATGAATGCATTGTCCTCGATGGACTACAATCCAAAGTTGCTTCCAACTCTGACGACCCTCCAAACTCTTTCCACACCCGCGACACTTTTCTCAAACACCCCTCTATCCCCGATGCTTGGAAATACTTGGGCCGCATTGACGATCGAGTCACTTTGGTAAATGGAGAGAAAGTTCTTCCTGTGCCGATCGAACATCGTATCCGACAAAACATATTCGTCAAGGATAACCTCGTGTTTGGTGTGTCAAAACCACTCCCTGGGTTGATTGTGGTGCCCAGTGTCGAGTCAGAGGGACTCTCATCCGAGGAAGTCCTGGATCGAATCTGGCCTGATATTGTGGCAGCCAACCAGAATGCTGAAGCATTCAGTCAGATCTCGCGCAATATGGTCATTATCCTGGATCACTCTTGCTCTTACCCAATGACTGATAAGGGAACCATGATCCGGAACAAATGCTATGTGGAGTTCGACGATTTGATTCAAGCTGCGTATGCGCGTCTAGAAAATGGCGATGCAAATGAAGGGCTCCGTCGTGTTTTAGAGTTGCCGGACTTGACAAGCTTTGTGCTGGATACGTTCCGCAACGATCTGGGCTTCTCAGATATCTCAATTGACACCGATCTCTTTGAGGCCGGTGTCGACAGCTTACAGGCAATCAAGGCGCGTGGTATTCTCCAGTCACAAATTGACATTGGAGGTGCCTCTCTGGCGCACAATGTTGTCTTTGACTGCGGCACCGTTGAAAAGCTGGCCAAGCATCTGAGTGCGCTACGCACAGGAGAAGAATGCGTTACCGAGAGCGAGGTGGAAGCGATGTCACAAATGACCACACAGTATTCGACCTTTCACAATCGGCCATCGAATGATCAAGTTGTGGTAAGTAACGGGTCATCTGGCATTCCTCACATAAACGTCCTAACGATCTTTGCATCTAGATTCTCACGGGTACTACTGGGTCATTGGGTGTATATATCCTCTCTCAATTATTAGACAACCCTTCAGTTAAGAAGATTTTCTGTCTTGTGCGCGCAACTTCCGAGCACAACGCGCTGGACCGCGTGCTTTCGAGTCTATCTTCAAGATCTCTACCTATTACGAATGTGTACAAGATTGCCGCATTCCCTTCGACCCTCGGGAAAGAAGAACTTGGCCTTCCAGCCACAGCCATCGATGAACTGCATAGTTCTTTGACTCATGTAATTCATGCAGCTTGGGCTGTCAACTTCACGTTGGGTGTTCGCAGTTTTGAGCAACAACATATCAGAGGCGTTCAGAACATGATCAACCTTTGTCTTTCCAGTCGCCGATCTTCGCCCGCTGAGTTTTACTTCTGTTCCTCCATCTCTGCAGCTGCCGCTACACCTCTCCCAGCCAATATCGCTGAAGGCCCGATCCCTGAACTTGCACATGCCCAGCATATGGGTTACGCTCGGTCCAAACTTGTGGCTGAGCGGATTGTTCATGCAGCCGCCCGGACTACTGGAATGGTAGCCAAGGTTCTCAGAATTGGACAAATTGTTGGAGACACCGCTACTGGGTATTGGAACCCAACAGAGGCGATTCCCCTCATGCTCCAGACCGCCAAAACATTGGGAGCATTGCCGGCGTTAGATGAGACTCCGGCATGGCTTCCTGTTGATGTAGTTGCGAGATCCATCTTAGAACTAAGTGGGATCGTCCCCAACGACAAAGCCAAGGTTTTTGCTCACGACCCAAGCGTAGTCTATCATGTTCAGAATTCCAAAACTTTCCGATGGACGGAGGATCTCTTGCCCGCTCTACAACAGGCGGGCTTGAAGTTTGATATCCTTCCCAGGAGAGAATGGGTGCAACGTCTGCGTGAATCCGAGCAGGATCCGCAGAAAAACCCAACGATCAAATTACTGGGCTTCTTCGCCGAAAAATACGATAATGACGCCCCTGGCCGATCAGGGCTAACATTTTCCATGGAGATGACGGAGAGCGCGAGCCCTTCGCTAAAAGGTGGTGTGGAATTGATTGATACTGGCTTGATCAAGAGGTTTGTGGCTGCCTGGGCACCGCGGTGGTGATCATTTTTTGCTTTCAAGATCTATTGTACATTCTGCCTTGTTCGCTTAGTTAGATGAAAGCCTTCTGTAGTAGAGTTTGAGGCCGCTTGGGCCTTAGCTTATTATCTTTCTATTTTACACAGCTTTTTGTGATGATATTTTTTTGTAATTCGCGAAGCCATTTCTCGCCCTAGATGCCTAGCAGCGTACGGCTTCATTCAAAGCTGCTGCAAAACTAGCCTTCTCAACCTTTACCCGTTATCAAAGGTTTGAGGATATCGAAATAGCTCTCATGTTTCCGAGGAGCTACATTAGACATTACATTCCCCGGGTTGCCCACTTCCTCCACTCAGATACCCCAGTCCAACAAGACATTCGATTAGATTAATATTGGGGTCGCATCAGATACGGAGTATGGTTACATTTCGGGCGAATAGCCTTGGATCTCCAAGCCCGATCATTACGTCCAGCACATAGCATGCCTTTGGGGCACACCAATGTTGAATGGGGATACTGCCGAAGGCTTTACCCGGTTTGTTTTCCGAAGCTCAGCATGTTTTCCGAATAATTCTCCTAAACCGGCCATGTCTCTCTGTCTGTGTGTCCAGACGTCCTCAATTCGTACCTATGACTCCTTTGCCTTGCTTCTATCTCTTAGGATTTTGCCAAGTATATCAACGTAGCTTGAGCCTTACTTGCTATCTTTTCTTCTACATATACTTCAAGTTGGCGTCACGACACCTGTCACCCTTCATATGTAGCGGGACAGTTTTCCGCGCTGCTAAGGGTCTATCAGCCCTAGTCCAGTGTATCGCGCTGAATATTTCTTCCTAACCAAGTCTTCATCCTTGAATACAACGCACCGTTCTATCAACAAAGTGCATACTTGCATTTCTTTTTATCATGACTACTGAAGTTGCATATAAACAGAACGTGGACCATGTCGAGAATGTGTCCCATGCAGAGGATGCTTTCCTTGAATGTGACGAGATTCAAGATCCTACTAGTATCACAGATGAGGAAAAGCGCCTCGTACGCAAGATAGATTGGATCATTCTACCTTGTCTATCCGTGTGTTACATCTTCTTCTATGTGAGTTATCAGCTATTCTGAGAGACATGATACAAATGTCAAGCACGAGGTGCTTTTCTGGATATTCTCGGTTAACTATTTCCTACCTGGCGGATTAGATTGACAAAACCACACTATCATACGCAGCAATCTTCGGAATTGAAGACAGCCTACATCTTACCGGAAATGAATATAGCTGGCTATCCTCGATTTTCTATTTTGGCTTCTTGGCTTGGCAATTACCGACAAATCTTCTGATGCAACGACTTCCCACCGCGACCTACTTGAGCATGAACATCATTGCATGGGGCGTCCTCCTGGCCCTACAAGCCGTTTCACCAAACTTCGCGACACTCGCCGTGCTCCGAGGGCTTAGCGGTGCTGCAGAGGCCTGTGCAGATCCTTCCTTCATGATCATCACCAGCATGTGGTATAAAAGAAGCGAGCAACCTATCCGAATTGGAATCTGGTACTCGGCCCTAGGATTAGGCATTGCAGGTGGCGGTGTGCTTGGCTATGGAATTGGCCAAATCAAAGGCTCCCTACCCAGTTGGAAGTATGAGTTCATTATGATTGGAGCTTTGTGTATTGCATGGGGAATCGTCATGCTCGTGGTGCTTCCCAACTCACCGATCAGCACTCGCTATCTTACGCCAGGACAACGAACGATCATGGTCAACCGGCTACGAGAGAATCAGACGGGAATCGAGAACCGACAATTCAAGATGCATCAGTTCCTTGAAGCCATTACGGACGTCAAAGTTTTCCTTTTCTTTTTGATCGCCTTCTTCCAGGCTATTGTCAATGGGGGTGTCACCAACTTTGGTACGATCATCATTCAAGGATTTGGCTTCTCAACTCGTAAGGATTCCAGTCCAGTCTTCCAGAATATTGCCACAAAACTATCTTTTTCTAACTTGCAGCAGTCGGCACCACATTGCTTCAAATCCCATACGGAATCTTTATCGCTGTCGTCATTCTGGTCTGTGTCTGGATCAACGCAAAAATGCCCCCCAATAGCAGATGCCTCATGCTTCTCATCTTTCTGGCCCCTAATATTGCTGCTGCTTTTGGTCTGTGCTTCGTGCCTCAGAGTGCCAAAGTTGGCCGCCTCATATGTTACTATGTAAGTAGCACCTGTAGTTTCACTGTCCTTCTCTTTTCCGGGAATTTGCCGGTTTCTGACAATCTCTACAGCTGACAGGTTCCTATAACGCGTCGTTTGTGATGCTGCTATCGTTGACTACTACCAATATCGCAGGGCATACGAAAAAGGTGACTTCCAGTGGTATCCTCTTTATTGGTTATTGCGCGGGAAACATTGCCGGTCCTTTCTTCTACAAGGAAAGTCAGAAGCCCACTTACTCACTTGGAATATGGAGCATGGTTGTTTCGCACATTTTGGAGGTCGTATGTGTGGTCTTACTATGGATATATTTGAGGAGCGAGAACAAAAAGAGAGATGCGAGCCAAAGAATAAACAAAGATGCTTCCAACTCGAAGCATTTGCCGGGAGCATTGGAAGATATCACTGACAAAGAGAACTCGAATTTCCGTTACGTATTCTAGAGGCCCTTGCGTTCACGAGAGATCAGCAATTGTTAAACAATGGCACAATCCTGAGAATATGATAGTTGTACCACTTCAAAATGAGTATATTGGGTATTTTTATCAAATATTTGACTACGGCAGTTAATCTGGAGAGCCTTTGAGCGCTCTGTCCTGCAAGAAGTTGTATACACTCTACTAATCAGCAATCGAAGCACAAAACTCAATTAATATCAGCATTGAACACTCGTGAACCCAGTGGCCCATCCTTCAGCGAAGAATAAGGAATCTTCCAGCTTGTAGAACTACTACGGTAGCTATTTATTTATGTCTTATTGGGTTTTCCGGATCCTCGGAAAGTTCTCCAAATCTTGGTTTCCTTTTCCGAGGGCCCACAAACTTCAGTACTGCCAAAAAGTAGAGATATAGGTTAATTCGATTGTTTATATTAGAGTCAATGCTTTTAGTAGTATCAGGGAAAACGATAACAAAGATAATTTCCCCACATTCTACTTGAATTCAGGCCGACCTCTACCGATGTCACATGGCCAATGAACGTCCTTTCTTCTTTTATGTCTAAATCCCTCAATAACGCAGCGCATTGCATATACATGTGGCGGGGGAGCTTCAGTCAAGCCGCAGTATTTGATTATAGTCTAGCTCACAGATAAACGTGGTATATCCTGGTGATGTAACGAATATTAGGAAGATCTCGAGAGCTGTCGGAGCCATGTAGTTCTAAGCCTAAAGACTCAAAGAAGACAAAGATGCAAAAACAGCTGATCTGGAAAGCACACCATGCTCGTGTTGTGGATTCATGCATGTAGGTGCCAGGTCCTATTTCAAGGGAATATACCAACAAATAAAACTTTTTAATGAGCTACAAAGCCTGTGAAGAGGGTGTGTTATCTATCTGTAAAATATCGAGTCCTTGTGTAGACTTAAGGCCATAGAATTTGGTTTTGGTCACAGCTAAAACGTGCGGAAGATTAGAATAGGGAATATTCCTATCTTTTACCTCTAATTGGCGGTTGTAGAAATAATACTTCTGTTCTGTTCAGAGGAGAACACCCTTTTATCGGTACATCCCATGACTCGACCATTTATTATATCACCAGCAATGAACGACACTTTGTGTAGAGCTGGTGATATCCGAATATTCGCTGCTAGATGTGTGACACCTCTATTTCCATGTCTTCGGTCAGTCCCGGAAAGCTGTATATATATTGGAGCTCCATCTCACCTTAGCATTAAACAGTATCAACTCATCACGTTCCAGTTCCACATTTCCAAGATGGAGACTCGCAAACTTGATAAAATGGCGCCAAAGACCTCAATGAACTGGGTTGAGAAGCGCAAGCTCTCTTCAGACCCTTACATAGCAGACACACTCAAGCATAACGGTATCGCCTGCTATGTATCCCACGCAGATATACTGAGCAGTCACTACCTTGCACCGATGTCTCAGGTGAGCAAGTCAGGCTTCATACAATATATTACTAGTATTGGTCGCTAATATTGGACAGAATTCGGAGATAGTGGTCCCAGACAATAAACTGCAAGATGCATTCAAAGCCCTTCGAGACGCCAGGTTTTTAAATTGCAAGAATAAAAGAGCTTGTCAAGCGGAGCTCTCGAATGGGAGCAGACCTAAGCCCGACGCCCACCTGCACTACAGAGGGGGTGTAGGCCGCGTCGACCTTTACAAACATACGACACATTTCAACTTCCTCCCTGAACCAGTTCTTGGAGATCTAGATCCCGGAGATAAAAACTACATGCTCTTGTCAGACGGGAAGGTGCCTTTATTGAAGCCGGAAGAAGGTTTCCGATTCGCACCTCTTGTTGAAACGCTACCACAATTCAAGGATTCGCTGGGTCCATTGTGTGGTCGGCGAGTTAACTTCTATGCTGTGCCAGCTCCACTGCTCGTTCGATCGATCTCGTCCTGGTCTTACCAGTTTTACCACGCTGTCAAGTACATATATAAGCTTGATAGAGCTATCTACCGCGCCAAAGACGATGGGGTCAGGCGTAACCTTGATTCGAAGCGTGATGCCTCTATCGGTGACGCTTGGCTTTGGTTTGTTTACCTAAACGCCATCGTCTGGTTGTATCGTCACCATCAGAACGACAACAAACGGGGACATAAATTATCCTGGAATCAGATAATGAGGGGCATCGATCAAAATCTGGTACCGTGGCTTAACGATTGGAATCATAAGTACCTGGTTACCGACAGTAGAGACAAGGAAGCCAACAAGGCCAAGTTCGGGAAGTGCCTGACGGACGTGACGAAATTTTTGACTGAGAGGTAAAGCAGATAAGAAATAAGTTCGTCTGCTGATGCTGATTTACGTTGATATGGAATATTTAATTAAAATGAGGCGAGGGGACGCACTAATTACAAGGGAAAGGGGTCTGGCTTGGATTTGGCATTTAACTTGTTGCTATTAGAATATGCTTTAATATCTTACCTTAATATGGCTTTCTTCTACCTTCAAAATGCACAGCATAAATGGCTTACATTCAGCTAAAGATTAGTATATCCTACAATTCACACTATAGGAAGGTATGCTTCTGCAGATTAGAAATAAAATGCTTAGACGGACACTCAACCTTTTTCTAAGCACTATAGTGGCGTGGCGTGGCGTGGCGTGGCGATGGCCAGACTATTCGCATACCCCATATAAAGTACCAAAATTTGTCCTAAAATATGACTCCAGTTTGTAGGGCTAAGTGGGTTTTTCGTTTTCTTTGTGACTTGTTTAACTTGTACACTTCGCGTGATTAGCCCTTGCTCTCAAGTGAACTAGCGATTCAAGCCCCCAGACCGGCTGGTTCATGCCGTGAGTTTCCAGGTCAGATAAAGGAGTTCTTCCTGTATCCAGAATGAAAGACGGTACCAGCCATAAAGAACGCCTACAAAATGCCAAGCTCGGTCCGTTTTGAAAATCAGATTTCCCTCCGAACACTCACGACTTTATTTCCCGAATCTCATCTTGAAACGCCCTATATTCCTAATTCAGTTACGCTCTTGGGCTTCCCTGCTGCTATAGCTGTTGTAGAGTAAGATACGGTAATGCCTATAGAGAATCCATCCTTCCAATTAAGAAACAGAAAGGAAGATCTGGCTTAGCGATCTAGCAAGATCAGCACCCCCACCCTCCCTCTTCTCCCAAAGGGCAATCTTAGTATATATATTAGATATAAAAGAAATAAAAGTACCTAGCAATATATATCCCAACTCTTCAAGAGCTAAATTTTTTTCATTCTTCGATCCTCAGCCCTGATTCTATCCATCTCATTCTTTCCAACATGAACTGGTTCAGTATGACTTCATAATATCATTTTCTTGTTATCTCACTGACCACATCATCGATCAACTAGGTCCTGACCACGAAAATGCAGAGGCTTACAATGAGGTCTATGAAGATGAGGACAAGCGTCAATGGTCTGACAGACTTATTGGTGGCGCTGCTGCCTTTTGAGGCTATGAATATGTACGACGAGCATCGAGCCGAATATGGTAATATTACTGTAGCACTTGCTCCTGCCATCACATCTTGGACATTTAACCTTTATTAACACTTAACAAATTAAGTGGATGAACGTTTCCCCTTTCGAACAGGCCATCTGGTAACCTCATGCGTTATGCGTTGCCTTAGTGATAAAAGGGATATATTTGTCATCTCTAGTGTCGTCATTCAATGCAACAATCCCAACGAGTTTCATGTTACCCATTAATTTATCGAGTTAAACAGAGGTCAATCTACACGTCTATGATTTACAGAATGCAACATACCCACTAATAGTATCCCCAAGAGCAACCCCACAACCAAGCCCTAACTCTTCCAAAACACCCTCCCCTCCATCAACCTCCTCGCTGTCCTAAAAACAGTCGCATGGCTCAAACTCCCATCCGCCGCAAACTCAGCCCCAACAACCAACTTTCCACTAGCATGGCCGAGCGTAATCCCCGCCGGATCAACCAACTTCCCACTCGCCACCCCGGCCACAACACTCCCCGACACCCTAGCAGCAGTAGCCAATGCCAAAGCAACAGTAATAGGCACCGCCTTATGCGGCTGACCCACCGACAACGCCCGAACCAGCAAATCCACATCGGCCTCAGTCTGTTCCTGCTCCGACGCCCGCGCATTCGACGCTGGAGAAGCAACAAGTCCAATCTTAGGTACACTCCCGGGCACGGACTCGGCCGTCTCAGCAAGACCCATGGCAACACCAGCCTGTCTGCGGATGGAATCCAATCGACCCAAGAGCGTGGGATGTGTGTCGATTTCCTCGGGCGTGATATTCCCCTCCACACCTAGCTCGGATGCAAGAACGAAGCAACAAGGGTTACTCACGTCAATACATGTCGTGCGTACACCGTCAAACTCATCAACTAACTTCTCCGTAGGGAATAGCTTCCCTGTCTTCGACCCGGCGGGATCCAGGAAATCTAATTGGATCTTTGATGCCGTCCCAGCAACACCGTCGATGGCGAAATCACCTGATGCTACGGCCTCGCCTTCTACCACGGGGAATCGGGATCGGATGACTTTCCCTGTGTTGGTGTTCAATATGCGTAGTTCGACATCCTCATGTCCATCGGAGTTCACGGGGAAGAGTCTCGAATCAACCGCGAAGGGTCCAATTGCACTAATCATGTTTCCACAGTTACTGGAGTAGTCGACATGCGTGTTCTTGACGCCCAGAGAGACGAATGTATAGTCGATGTCGACATCCGGGGTCGTTGATTTGCCCACTACGCATATCTTGGATAGGCTTGATATGCCGCCGCCGAGCCCGTCAAGTTGCCGGCCATTAGGGTCCGGACTGCCGATTACGCGGCGGAAAATCTCATCCCATGCCGAGCGGTCCGTTGGGAGGTCTTCCTTTTTGAAGATCACAGCTCGGGAAGTTCCGCCGCGGTAGTAGGCCGCAGGGAGAGATTTTTGAGGGTTGGTGCGGGTTGAGAGGTTGGCTCTACTTTGTAGAAGAGTTTGTGTGAGAGGTCTGAAGGGTGTGCGTCGGAGGATCATTTTGTATGTTGATCTTTATGTTGTGGAAGGTTGGGAGTATGAATGACTGTATGATACTTACTACTTACTAGGTGTGACGTTGGACGTGTTGATGCTTAACCTCGGATATTTGAGCGGACCAATCATTTTCCACCAAATGCAATATGAAATTAAGGCTAACTTTGTAGGCCGAACTGTTAAGTCTATTGCTTTCGAAAATTCCTATATTTTATGATCGTTTCTAGTTTAGATAATGCTCGAACAGTATCCTCACAAAGTCACAAGCTTATAATCTAACGCGGAGGCCTAATAATAGCATCCCTTCAAGTGATCCTGGCGAACTAGAGGACTAGCCATAATACATACCCAAGATTGTCTAGAACCACAATAGAAGCAGAGGGACCACAACTCATCCATGTCCATCTTTCAGGGTTATAAAAAAACACGTGCCCTACAAAATCGCCAGGCTGGGACATAATAATCACCAGATATCATCAAGGAACCCCCCCATCTCTCTACCAGGAATCAGGATAAATAAAAACGATATCCGATATCATATCAGTTTAATTCCCCGCATACTAATTAATCATAGTCAATAAACTCAACCCCACACTCCCCTCTCCAGAGAACCACCGAACAACAACCTCATCCCCAACATACCCGACACTCCAAAGAGCACAACTAATCCAGCAACCAAACCCCAAAATGCAAACACCAACACTCAAATCCCTCCTAACCCAAGACCCAGGCCTCCCGAAACCCTACCCAACGTCTTCATATTGGCAAACCCCACCTCACCCCCTCAGTAATACACAATCAGCTTCTCTGCCCCTCAAAACCGATGTCGCGATCATTGGCTCCGGGATAACCGGTCTCTCGGTTCTTCTTACTCTCCTAGATGAGCATCCTGATCTTACTATTACGGTTCTAGAAGCGAGGGCTTTATGTTCGGGTGCGACGGGCCGGAATGGGGGTCAATTGGCTGCGAATGCAGGGGAGGAGTATTTGCATCTGGTAGAGGAGTTTGGAAGGGAGGGTGCGGGGGAGATTGTGCGGTTTACGTTTGAGAATTTACGGAGGATGAGGGAGTTAGTGCGAAGGTTTGCGGTGGAGGAGAGTGAGGTGCAGGACGTGGTTAAGGCGAGGGCTTTTCTAGAGGAGAGTGGGTTTGAGAGGTTTAAGAGGAGTGTGGAAGCGTTGGAGGGGGATTTGCCGGATTTCAAGGGGGTTTATACGGTTCTTGATAGGGAAGTGTTGAAGGTATGTGCTTTGAGTAAATTGAGTATTGGTATAGTTTTCATTGTGGCTAATATGTCTAGAGGGAGTATCATCTGGACGGCGCTGGGGGTGCTCTGCTTCCTGCCGGGACCATCTGGCCTTATCGGCTCGTGACCAAGATTTTTGCCTGTCTCCTGGAGCGATACGGGCATAGGTTGAATATCGAAACGCAGACCCCCGTTACTTCTATCGCTTCCGATGCGACGAACTCTTCCCACCCCTATATCCTGCATACACCCCGAGGAAGTCTGCGCGCAACTCAGGTCGCGCACTGTACCAATGGACATGCAGGACATTTGCTCCCAGGACTCCGCGGTCCAATCTATCCCTTCAAGGGAACGATGACGGTGCAAGACGCAGGCAGTATCATGCCCAACCGCGGTGAGGACCTTTCATGGGGTTTCCATTATCCGGTTATCTATGATAAACAGTCCAGTCGGTATGCTGCAGGCTTGTACTATCTCATGCAGAACACGAAAACGGGGTATTTCTTTTTCGGCGGAGAGGACACGCAAATCGACCATTGTTTATCAGCGGACGACAGTGAGGTCGAGGAAGGCTCCATCAAGCATCTACAAGAGAAACTGCCACATTTCCTTGGCTACGACGGACCGGAACAATGGAGGCTAGCCAGCGGGTGGAGTGGGATTATGGGCTTCTCTGCAGACGGACTTCCCGTTGTCGGACGTGCGAAAAGCTCAATGGCAGGGCGACATGGCGAGGGGGAATACGTTGCGGCTGCATTCAACGGATATGGCATGGCCAACTGCTTGCTGGCCGGAGAAGCGTTGGCAAAGATAATGATGGGGAAAGACGTGAGCACGTGGTTGCCAAAGGCGTACGGGATTCATGAGACACGTTTGAAAGAGCCACTGACGGTGGGCCATGCAATTAAATCCTTCGAATTAGATCCTTGATGCGGCTGCCTATGGCAGCGACATGTCAAGTCACTAAATGCATATCATTTTGAGATGGAGGTGTTGAAGCAGCTCTGCATATATTAGTATACCAGCCAATTGTCTGTAGTTAGCCCATGCGATGGACCGAAGAAACTTGGTTCAGCCTTTTAGTGAGGTATCCGATAGTTTCATCCTCCCTAACTAGTCAAGTGGTATTTTCGCATTAATCCTTGGATACTTCAGCAATAAAGTCCATCAAGCTAGGCTGGCCGGGAGTGCTATCGGGCTTCCATGTTTGCGAGCGCATGGCCGGTGTTTTATCAGCAGCCGGTTTGCCAAACCCGTCAATTCCCCCTACGGAGTGTGTCCGCACGGTTAGCTCATGTCGCGATAAGCTCACTTTCATTTTCTTGCTTTGTCCGGTGCTGGAGAGGGCGAGTAACTCGCCAGTATGCGGATACGCTGCTTGCCATGTTAATAGGCGGCCAGTCTCTTGCTTGATACCATTTACGGGTGAGCCCTTGGCGTGAGTGATGGCCGTAAGGATGTCCAGCAGCACAAAATGCGTGAGCACAGAGGCTGCCTCATTCTGCAAGCCGATGCGGTTTGGCGGACGGACATCGGGATATTGAGGCATGTTGACTGAGACCTCATAGTAAGTGCCTAGTGGTGGGGTTGTGACATTGGTGCGAACCTTGACCCCGAATGAGCTTTGAGGGGTGACCAATTGCGCAGTAAATGTCGACTCGTAGGGTAACAAAAACTCTTGGACCAAAGCTTCTACCTTTGGAAGCCCATTGATGGTGCGCTGAAGACTGAGAGACGAGAAGGGAGTCGCTTTAAAATCACAGGTGATCCCGGCAGACTTCAAAATCTGGTTGATATCGTTCAACAACGACTCAAGCCATCGCACATGTGAGCTATGCTGCAGGTAGGCCATCACCGGTCGGAGGAGCTGGTATTCTGGGGTATGGCGGCGCTTTGGGGTTAGTGGCGTTGGGAGTTGTGTCCTTCGGCGTAGATTTTGGCGATGAGCATAGGCGAGCAAGATACGGATTGCATGGGCAAGGGCGTCTGCCACCACAGCGTGCTCGTTGGAGGAGACTGCTTCATCTTCAGGCGACATCTGATCGTCGTCGACAAGATCCAACAAGACCTCTTGCTCCTCTGACACTGGGAACTGAACTAGGTTCTGGCGTGTCGTGACCCCCTGGCTACCTAGTATTCTTGCCTCACGTACCAGCTCATGAAACAGTTCCTCTTCGTATACCGTATCACGCGCCTGCAGGATACGACTCTCGATTGACTCGGTGTTATCCGACGCCGGTCGGTTCTTCGAGCAGCCTGTGATTTGGCCACGACTCCTCACACGCACGCGCACTGTTCGCGCCTTGAGTGGAATTAAACCTTTGTCTAGTATCAAACTTCCGTCGTTGGTCCGTCGCAAAGCCGCCAAGCCCCGGTCGCGGAAGATTGGTGTAGCTACGGCTGTCAGTTTACAAATTATACTGGAAGGAATCGATCTCACCTTCTAAAAATCCATACTGCACCCCAAGGGCCTGTCTTTCCCTGGGCAGCCTAGACACCTTCCAACCTTTTTCCTTCACCGCCAGCACCTCATCCCAATACTTGGTCTCCGAGGCGACTTCAGCGTCGAGTCTAGTCGCGGAGTCAAGTAATTTGCTCGCCGCGGAGTTAAAGTTTTGCAGCCTCCACCCACGCGAAACGTTCTTGGTGTCTCGAGTCGCTGACTCGGGCTTCGGCGGCGGATTGACAATTTCCGAGTTTAGCGATCCGAGGGGCGCAACTTGTTTCAGGTATGCGGACATGGACATTTCGGCCTGACGAGGAGTATGCTTCGAAAGCAGAAGGGAGACAAAGTCCAGGGCGAACATGGCTTCCATATGGGCCTGGCTGCAAGCGATTAGCGCACGAGATATCCTCCGTATGGGTCAAGCTTACAGGGCGAATTGGGTAATGGCCGCCCGACGCTTATACAGTTGATCTAGACGTTCTGTAGTATCCTCATCGGCAGATACGTTGTCGTTTTCCTCTTCGTCGGACCATGGATCTTTGTTTTTGTCGGCTTCGATCTTGGCCCGTAGGCTGTCCTCGGTGACATCGCGAAAGGAACCATACTGAGCATTAATCTGAGCAATCTCCACGGGAAGCGGATCTGGACGTTCGCGCTTCTCTGTCAAGGGACGAAGAGGGAGGTTGAAGGAATCGGACATGACGCCGGTTGTCACCCTGCTGCAGCAGAGCTTGGATCAAGAAAGACGGAGTACTGAAGATTGACTTTGGGGAAGCTGGTGTTGATTAGATTGCCCGGCCGCAACGCGGTGAGTCGGCACGTGATCCTGTTTGGTCAACGCAGTCTCAATTGCTTGTGTAGTCCTTGAAATAGCAGTTCTAGGGATAGTATACTTTTTTTTTTAAACAATTAAAGTATCTTGTTTATCGGGCAATTGAGCTAATGTTATGAAATTATTTGTCACCCCGTTATGGTGGAAGTAAGCTGCTACTAACCTCAGCTATCACCGTTACCGTATGGTAGAATATATATATGCACGGTTTTGGCAGCATAATACTCCGTATTGTTCAACAGCATGTGTGAATTTTACAATTAGACTAGCTCATCCAGCAACTATATCGCCGAGAATCCCCAGTAATCTTCATTTAGCTTACCAGTGTATACAAACCTTTTTCCCTTTGCAGGTGGTATAGCATGTTTACTAGGTATTGGTTACTGTGCAAAAGGGTGACCCAAAGAGGCATAGTGGTGAAATGGAGCTCTTGACTGGTAGGAAAAACAGCTTTTGAACTATGGGGCTCCCGGAACATTGTATCGGATCGCTTGAGGGTCAAGTAATGTACATCGAGACTTGTATATTAGATGGACTCCGATTACAAGAACTGTATGCTATATGTACCGTATATCACTGATAAGCTTCCTAGGTTAAGAAAGAAAGGAGTTGATTCTTGTTTCTCACAATTGGCGGAGGAAAGCTCTGTCGAACCATATGGTAAGACAGGGTGTCCTGACCCCTGTGGCCTGATATCATAAAACTGGAGCTATTGGAGTTATTGACCGGGTCAAGTTCGAAGTAATTGAAGAAAGGAGAACTATAGCCAACCAGAGATCGTGGAACATACTCCGTAAGGAGATGCCTGGATCTTTGATGCTTCGAGGGTTCCATGCTGACCGTTAGATGGCGTCACTCTCCGCCACGGAGAGCAGTCCGCCGCCACACGTGCTGGCCCAAGCCCTGCCCTAGAGGGGTTATCACGTGATAGCTCCGGACGCTTGCCCCGAACGGGCAATGTCAGTGACATCAGCGACGATAGCCTTTTTTCCTTCACCTGCAGTTGAGACTTTCTCAATGCCTCAGCAGCCGGCAGGAATTGCTTAAGTAGACGGGAAACACGCGGAGATCAACAATACAGGTGCACTGTCTGACAGTTCTACTTGTAGGGGGATCCCGCATCCGGCAATATAACACTTGAATCACTACTGAATCGACTATCGAGTTTAGTTTCACTTTCTTATCAAGTTCCAGTCAGTGACGTACCATTGCCCACTCCCGCTTTTTCTCACCGGAATTCTTTCCCCCCCCACCGTCACACAAGTTATCTAAACCTCAACTGTTCCACGATCCATTCAGAACCCCTTTGTTTGTCACTCCTTAGATCTAATCATTGACTTTTACTTCTTATTGTTTTCCCATAGTTCTATAATACATTGTCATCTGCATGATGGCTACGACTCACGCCCCCGCGGAGCCTGCCAAGCGCCGCCGTATCGGTGTCTTGACCTCTGGTGGTGATGCTCCCGGTATGAACGGCGCCGTCCGAGCTGTCGTTCGCATGACTATCTACTCCGGATGTGAAGCCTATGCCGTCTACGAAGGTTACGAGGGTCTGGTCCATGGCGGAGATATGATCCGTCAGCTACACTGGGAAGATGTCCGTGGCTGGCTCTCCCGGGGTGGTACCCTAATCGGTTCAGCTCGTAGCATGGCTTTCCGGGAACGTGCTGGTCGTCTGAAGGCCGCTAAGAACATGATAGTCCGGGGTATTGATGCTCTGGTGGTTTGTGGTGGTGATGGGAGTTTGACTGGTGCCGACCTCTTCCGTTCCGAATGGCCTGGTTTGCTGGAAGAACTGGTCAAGACGGGCGAATTGACTGAGGAACAGATTGTCCCTTACAAGGTGTTGAACATCGTTGGTCTGGTGGGCTCGATTGATAACGACATGTCCGGCACAGACGCTACCATTGGCTGTTATTCCTCCCTCACCCGCATCTGTGATGCGGTCGACGACGTTTTCGATACCGCTTATTCCCACCAGAGAGGCTTCGTTATTGAAGTCATGGGACGCCACTGCGGCTGGCTGGCCTTGATGTCGGCTATCAGTACTGGCGCCGACTGGCTCTTCATCCCCGAAATGCCACCGCGCGAGGGCTGGGAGGATGACATGTGCTCTATCATCACCAAGGTAAGCGATCGCAAAATCATGGGATTGGCCGGTTCATCTGCGTGCTAACTTTTATGTCCCACAGAACCGTCAGGAGCGAGGCAAGCGGAGGACGATTGTCATTGTGGCCGAGGGCGCTCATGACCGTCAACTCAACAAAATCACTAGCAGCAAGATTAAGGACATTCTGACCAACCGACTTGATCTGGACACTAGGGTGACCGTCCTGGGTCACACCCAACGAGGAGGAGCAGCATGTGCCTATGACCGTACCCTCTCGACTCTACAGGGCGTGGAAGCCGTTCGTGCCGTTTTAGATATGACACCCGAATCTCCGTCCCCGGTCATCACCGTCCGCGAGAACAAGTTGCTGCGCACGCCGTTGATGGATGCAGTGAAGGCCACCAAGGAAGTCGCCGACCTCATTCATGAGCGCAAGTTCGACGAGGCTATGCATCTGCGCGACTCCGAATTCAAGGAGTACCATTTCGCCTACAAGAATACTGCTACCCCCGACCACCCCAAGTTGATCCTACCAGAAAACAAGGTATGTCGTGCTATATGTCTGTGCGAAAAACAAAGCTAATGTTCTGCAGCGGATGCGTATTGCCATTATCCATGTCGGTGCACCTGCCGGAGGTATGAACCAGGCCACCCGTGCTGCCGTCGCCTACTGCCAGACTCGTGGACACACGGCCCTCGCCGTTCACAACGGTTTCCCCGGCCTCTGTCGGCACCATGCAGACAGCCCCGTTAGCTCTGTGCGCGAGGTCAGTTGGGAGGAGCAGGATACCTGGGTCAACGAAGGTGGTTCAGACATCGGAACCAACCGCAGTCTGCCGTCCGAGGACTTTGAGACCACTGCCAAATGTTTTGAGAAGTTCAAGTTCGATGGTCTGTTTGTCGTTGGTGGTTTCGAGGCTTTCACTGCTGTTAGCCAATTGCGCCAGGCCCGCGAGAAATACCCAGCCTTCAAGATCCCCATGGTCGTCTTGCCGGCCACCATTTCCAACAATGTCCCGGGTACCGAATACTCCCTGGGTAGCGACACCTGCCTGAACACTTTGATCGACTTCTGTGACGCTATCCGTCAATCAGCGTCGTCCTCCCGCCGCCGTGTCTTCGTCGTCGAAACCCAAGGTGGTAAGTCCGGTTACGTCGCCACGACCGCTGGTCTCGCGGTTGGTGCCTCGGCCGTCTACATCCCTGAGGAAGGTATCGATATCAAGATGCTGGCACGCGATATCGATTTCCTGCGCAACAACTTCGCCCACGACAAGGGAGCCAACCGCGCCGGTAAGATCATTCTACGCAATGAGACCGCTTCCAGCACCTACACCACACAGGTCATTGCCGACATGATCAAGGAGGAAGCCAAGGGCCGCTTCGAGTCGCGTGCGGCAGTCCCCGGTCACTTCCAGCAGGGTGGCAAGCCCTCTCCAATGGACCGAATCCGCGCCCTGCGCATGGCCATCCGATGCATGCAGCACATAGAAGGTTTCTCTGGCAAGTCCGCCGACGAGATTGCCGCCGACGAGCTCTCTGCGACCGTCATCGGTGTCAAGGGATCCCAGGTACTCTTCTCCCCGATGGGCGGCGCCAACGGTTTGGAGGCGACTGAGACCGACTGGCCACGCCGTCGCCCCAAGAACGAATTCTGGCTCGACTTGCAGAGCACCGTCAACATTTTGTCCGGTCGCGCCAGCTTCGGCGAGGGCAAGACGAGCTGGTCTTGCTACGAAAACTGTTAAACGTTGGCATAAGAACAAGAACTTGCACTGTTAAACGGCGTTAATGAGCTGGGTGGTTAGAATCTCGTGGCCGGTGGGAAGACTGGTCGTTTTCCCTTTTGCATACCTGGCCGGAAAGAATAAAACGAAACTTGAGATGCAGTGATGGCTGCTACGTATGTATCATGACAGACAGGAATTATTGAATGAAAATTATGATCACCCTTATTCAAATCGCTCTTCATATCTTTATGCATAATTAAACATCGTATCCGTACCTATATGGCGTATCTCATGTAATGCATATTCCCCAAAATCATGCAAGACACTCCCTAGACAAACCCATACTCGCTCAATGAACCCGAACCAATAAACAACGACAACGGAACTAGTAAATAGTAAGACTTAAAAAATATCGCAAACGGAGAAGAATCGAAGAGATAACCAGTAATGAATAAAGGCAAATTATTTCTCAATAATCGCCAACTCATCCAAGAGCTGTACCGTTTCAGCCGGATTAGCGATCCAGGCCGTTGTCGAAGCCAGGCGTGCCTAAGATTCACATATGAGTTTAAATACATTGTACTGTGGCCTGGAATAGAAATGAAGGAGAGGCTGGTTAACAAACCTTAAAATCATTGGCACCAGCGGACAAGAACTGGTCGCCAATGTGGAGAGTGCGGGAACGGTCGATGCCGCCGAAATACTGTTGACAGGCGCGTACACCCCAGGATTTATCGCCGATGTCGACGAAGACGTCATTTCCACCTTTACGATTGATGTTAGCTGGGTCTGTAGTGTGAGAAGCGGAGACCCGGGGCTGTAGGGCGTATATGCGGAAAATACCATTGAATGCGCAGAAGGGCAATCGAGTGCCGACGACTGATCGCTCGACAGTGTTTTGGACAACTAAGACCGTCTCTTCCCATTGTTCCCGAGTAACCTTTGTCCGATCTAGGGGATAAACGCCGACAGCACGATCCTTTCTCAGTACAGCGACGGGAAGATTCAGATTCTTGGCGCAAGCGCGGAGGGAGGATTCGGCGATGTCCAGAAGCTGTGTGATATCCGCTTCTTGCCAGGCGTGCATCTCATCGAGCAGCCATTGTTCACGGGGGACGTAGGTAAGCTTATGCGGGGAGGCGTGGTCGTAGCGGAAGAGGAAGTTGCTTTCACCGCCCATGACCACGAGACCGTCGCGGTTGGCCGGGGTGAGGACGTCGGAGTTGTGGACAGCGTCGAGGAGACCCTTTAGACGTTCGTAATACTTGGGTGCTTCGGTGTAGCCGGCGGCGGTGACGATGCCGATTTTGCGGCCTTGTTGGAGGATACGGATGAGGCGGGGTATGACGGGGTTGTCGTCGGTGAGGCAAGCGCCGTCATCGTAGAGGGTGACATCTCCGTCGAAGGTCACTAGATCGACGCCGGAGGTGCGAAAGAGGCCCAAGAGCTGAGCCGAGTTGAGGATGAGACGGATGTCATTGAAGGACGGGGCGACGAAGCGACGTCGGCTGATGAAACGCTGGCTGTCCTGGTATTTGAAGGCGTCTTCGAGGGGCAGGGGCGTGAAGAAGGAGCCTACGGTTGGCACTAGGAGATTGAGCTTCGATTTACCGGGAGCTCCTGTTTGTTGGTGGTGGACTGGGTTGTTATGAGTCAGTACTGGCCAGCTTGGCAGACGCAGTGATGTGAGTCAGGGGGAGGAGAGGAGTACTATGATCGCGCATGAGATTCTCAACATCCCGGAAGATCTCCGCATAACGTTGGTGGGTATCCGCCGCGATGGCGATCAGATTCTCGCCGTGCTCTTGGTAGACAGCCGTAGGTTGTGAATGCAGGACAAATGGAACAGCCAGAAGGCCTTTGATCCATTCTATCAACTGGTCGCGACGATGCGACTGGCCGAGTTAGCGCTACGGACCGCGGAGCTAGTATGCGTCATACCTTAAGAGCATCAGTAGGATTCGTCAGCGAAGAGTCAACAATTTACGACGGGGTTCAAGTCGGAACTCACATTCAACACGATAACGGGTCGTCATAATTATAAGGTATTAGAGAAGTGATAGAGAGTGAATGGGGAGCTGTTGGTTGAGTGTTGAGATGGAGGATGAGGTGGAGGTCGAGACTCAAGGGAGCTTGTTTGCTCTTCCCCACATCTGGTTTAGCTTCGGTATTTATACTTTCGGGTCATGTGGCCACATTCGTGTCGTGACGCGGAGATAAGATCTGTCAAATCAGATCCCTCAGTCACTCCCTTCATTCTTTCTATTCTTTTAGAAATGGCGCCAACTGTCGGTGTGACAGGAATAATGACATGCCAGAGTCCCTAGCTGGTAAGGTTTTTAAACGGATCTGTACGACGAACAGGGTGGAATAGATCTCACTGGTCAGGGACGTGACCTACGGTTGTATATACGTGGCATCTGAATAAAACCAGAATCTTTCGCGGCCTTCTCCATTCTTGATGATCAGAATTTGTCTCACGATACAACCGTGGGTGGTAAAAGCACACAGCTTTATCGAATCGCTTTCGAAGTGCCCGGTCATGCAAGGGGATCGGAGACTAATGGCCTTCCGGATCCAGTCTCTATCCACTGCAGATCTGGTGGACCCTCCGAGATATACCTGGATCATAAGACCGTGTAGGCCATACAGATGCATATTAGTTATGGTAATGGCCTATTGCTGGGAAGGCATTGGTCAAAAACCAGAAGCACCACTTGAGGTAGTGGTTTTTGTTGCTTGTGACTATTTATCTCCGCCAAGTGCGTTGAACCCGGTCATCGCTCAGACCTAAAAGTCTATTACATCGGATAGATCCGAAGAAGTTTTCAATCAAGGCGGAGGTGAAGTCAAGAGTATATCACAAGCACAAGGAAATGCGAGTCCAAACACTCCTTGCATAGCTACTCGAGCCGAATCAGTAGAAGAATATTTAATTTCGAACTAAGGGGTATTTACCGGAAATGGTACTGCTCTGCTTTAGTCAATTTCTCATCCATCGAAGGTGAATCTTGAATATTAGCTACGAGTAGTTTTAGTTAAGTAGATCCCACCAGAGTGATCTGCTTGCGTGCTCGTTGCTGGTTGGCCTTTCCTTGGTCAGGGGCGATCATAATATGATCTCTTGCTGCTTTGACCTTCTAACTCGTCGACAGTCATACGATAGCGATTTCTGTCCAAGTTGCTCATGGCTAATGAATTGAGCCGTCTTGGATGTAACCTGAGGTCTAACAATATGTTAATATTAGTATGGCCACGGGCCATAATAAGATGATTTAAGTTCTTTGAATTTGTTAAGGGCTTGCACACATTCTGGGTCTCAAGGAGGCTTTGTCTATGGGCAGACCAGACCGCAACCGTTTGCCGTGCATTGCTACGATTGATAACGTGGTAACAAATATCTCCATCCACACACACATCCCTCACTCTATTTGTTCGCCTCTATCTTTCTCCGGCGACCTGTACTATACGCGGGGTCTGACAATCTGGTCGTGAACCTCATTACCTGCCCCCGGCAACGGAGCAAGTTGTGGAAAGGGCAGTCGAGACGAGGGCGTTCCTGGCCCCTCGCCGAGAATACATGCAATGCATCTTACAGACTGCTTCAGCAATCTTTATAATTATGACCTCTCGCGTACGGGGTTGCGAACGGATGCGTCGTTCCATCGCGGGGGATGAATGGAGCGCGACTTCTGTCTCCTTGCCCTCGCGACTTGGATGCGGCATTGCATCTCCTCATGGCTGATTTCATGCAGCACCAGCCCGGTGACAAGGATGAAGGTTATCTGCAAGCATACAACGAAGTAACCGGTGATCCGGAACCGCTGCTTGCCTGCCTGGCGCAAAAAGGAGCGCTCCACAGAGAGGTTGATGCCCTAAAAGCCGCAGCCAAACGAAATCCAGCCCGCTACAAAGCCAAGGCCAAGGCCAAGGAAGCGTATCTCAAAAACCTGAACAAGGCGCCATCGATTTGGGACCCTATCCCACCCGAGCGTCGCGGCCAAGCTGCGGAGGTTCAGGAAGAGGGCAACAAAAAGGTCAAAGAATGGAACCAGTATTATGCGTGGCAATATCGATAGGCCAGCATCGTTCCACTACTCAGGGTCGTGAACAGGAGTCATAATACTCATATAATTATCTAGGAACCATTTACTAAGAATTCCCGAGAGTATATTTACTTCTAGCAACCGTGATGCTACTTTATGCTACTGGATCTGTTCATGCCTCCATCCGCTACTGGAAGCTGGTAGATGACGTCTGTATGGTCCCCGACTTCGGGGTGAGCGTAAAACCTTGCCCATACCGCTCCCTGAATTCTTCCACAGAAGCAGCATCGCCATTACGATCCCGAATCGTATTGGTATAATCTCGCACCGTGTGGCCGTCGGCTTCAATTATGCGGAAGTTGATATTGGTCATATCACGTGATAGCTGTTGGACGGAAGCATCGCTGAGGTGGCCTCCAACCTGCCTCGTTCTCCACCCCAGACCTCGGTTCGTCCCATTAATGGTTTTCCCGTTAGTCGACACCATGAACTGCAAGGCATCCCCGGTACCGTAGTTATGAATGTTACTGATATTTTCCTTTAGGCGGGTATCGGCCTTGGAGCAGATGTCCATGCACTGGTGGGCGGTTTGCCACTCATCCTGTAGCCTTTTCAGTTCCATGATATCTTGCTCAGACGTCATAGCTGCTTTCGACTTCACTAGTAATCGGTCCGTCAGATCTTGCATATGCTTTTCCAATTGGGCGATCGTGCCGGCCAATTTCATTTTACAGTCCTGTAAGCTCTCATCGGTGACTCTTTCTGGATAAGCATCGGAGTCCGATGATCCGGCGGAACTGTCACTGCTCTTGGCCGAGAGCTGAATCTGATCAATATGGTCGGACAACTGGTTGCATATTTGAAGACATTTCACTGTACTCAGGCGCTCTTCCTTGATTCGCCGCAGCTCCAAGGCATCTGAGTCCTCTGCGGTCACGGTTTGCCCAACGATAAGCTGCAGCTTGTCGTCGATGGTTTCCAGGTGAGCTTCAAGATCAGCCTTGGCCGTCTCTATGAGATCTTTGTAGCTTTCAATAGCCTCGGCATTAGCGGAGCTTTTGCGACTGGGCGTCAGGTTAGCTAGGGGTGTTTCGAAAATGACTGGAAGCGTAGCAAAGGGGTAAAAATGGATATACCGAGAAGGGGGAGGGGGTCACAGCGCCGTCGGAGGGCAGCCAAGGGAATGGTCATGATTATTATATACAAGACAACGGAGACTCACAGGTTCGCATCGGTAAGGGCAACGTTGATAGTCAATTTGTACCCGGACAGCATTCGCCTGAAGCCATCGATATCATCCCCCATGTACCGTAACTTGGCCCAGTCTCGGAAGCTGGTTCGGTTAGCGGACCGTGACGAGCATCTGATTATTTCCTGTTCGAACTCGCTGCACGCATTGCCGCAGCGTTGTAATGGCAGTTCGAGTGCAGAGAGGTTCACATCATTCGTGGTATCTAACAGCTCCTGGAGCGGGGCGAGAACCCCGCTCAGAGCCTCCAGCTCATCAACAAGGTCACGTATGCGTTTTGCGTGAGACTGGAAGCTATTGATTGTCTCGTAAAGCGATAGGCTAGCCTTGAACGCAAAAGTTGCCAAAGCCAGTAGGCCAGAGGCTAGACCTACAGGATCTGCCATTCTTTTCTTTTCT